AAGGACTTAATCTCTGCCTCAATCCGGTACAATGTCTCCCGTATAAGTTCATCTTGGAACACACGAAAAGATTCGCGGGTAAAAATCGCAGCGGCATGGCTTTCAAGGTCGACCAGTTTTGTGATCTGGAAGGGTTTGGTATGGGAACTTAAGTAATCCGCTTTCAACTCGTTCATACGCATTCTACTAATTCCATCTTCAATTGCACGAACAACATCTAAATATGTCTTCTTGTGTTTCAGTGCAATAGCTAGTGAAGCATTCATAGACTCGCACCTTGTGTTGAGCGAATATTGGCAAAGAAATGACCGGTTAGATATGCTTGTGCCCATAAGTGTCGTGTATTCCCTTCTCAATCACCCATGGATGCTTTTGGACGTTGAATTCTGAAACAATCGAACGCCATTGAATATCAAATTCCTTGGTTGTCCACCAGGAAGCCATGCATTTGAGAATGCTGCTGTAAACTTTGGGTCACCAATGTTAGCTTGTGCATTGCGAGAAAGATGCCAAGAACATAATCTGTGCTTAGCATAAGGGATAACAGATTTGATAGCCCTTTGCATTGCCCTATCCCCATCGGTTACAACAGAAATAGGTGATTTATTCATCATGGCTTCTAAAAAATTTTGTAGCACCCACTCGAAAGATTGAGACGTCTCGTCAGCGATTATGGCAGTGGCAAACACAATTGTGTTATGGTGATGATTGACACCAACAATAGGCATAATTGGTCGACCATACAAATTATCTTTGTACGTTGTGTCGAACGCAATTACATCACCGAAGCATGTGTAATCCGATCTCGATGTAGAATCCGACCAAATAAGATTATACAATGCCCCCGATTCGTCTACCGAGTATGTCATAAAAAACCCGGGATCATCATGTTTCTTATAATCAAAGTAGGCAATAAGCGCATTCACATCCCCATCGACGATTTCCTTTGCTTTACCTCTTTGAAGTGCATTGTATAGGTCTTTATGTGTAAATCCAACATTATGATAGCCCCCTGCCTGCTGCGTTAAATAGTTCATTACTTGTGACGTGCCAACACCGACCTCTTTCAATGTTGTTGCCTCATCGATATCAGCCTTACTTACAGCTCTATTAGAACGCATAAATGGTGTCATAGCAGATGTGCACAATGCATGATTATGTTTCTGATCAGACTTACTTATAACCCACTGATCGTTTGTATTTGTTGCTGTAACTACGACTCTAGCCTTACATCCTGTTCTTGTGACTGGCGTATGAGCACGTTGACGATCAACAATATTGACTTTTAACACTCGAAACCCTTCTTTGGAACAACAAAATTCTTGTGTCTTCACATTCCCTTCCACGTCAAGCCGTGTTGTTCCCTTACGTGCACTAAACCCATGTTCCCGTGCGAATCCCTTGTAAAAGTGCCAAGCTTGATCACGTGAACAGAAGAGCTGACCAACCAATCTGTCAGATTCATCAACATTATGTACTTCATGGCATTCCTCGGTTGGCTTAACATTGTCTACATCAGTATTATCCATGGCAAAAATTTTGTTGTGCAAGTTCAGTGCTCCAGGAGTTGATGGAGATGTAAACAAAGGTTCATTTTGAACATGTTTCTGTCGTGCTGCTTTCAATAGGATGTGGCATTGGTAGTGGTAGTTAAAGGGTGGGTACAATATTAAATTCGCAGTACATATTTAGGTATGTACAATAACTACAAGTATATTATCATTAAATTTAGGTATGTACAATAACTACATATTTAGGTATGTTTGTTAACTACATATTTAGGTATATACATCTTTTGAGTGAGTTTTAAGATATTAATTTAGTAATTATAGGCGTCTAATGATTTATTTTTTACGTTACGGTATATATTATTATTAAATTAAAAACAATAAACATATATATTACATATTTATTATTATCTTTGGTTAATGTTGTTAAATTTAAATTCTAAATAATATTTTATAAAATATCAAAACAATCAAATAATTTTTTGTGTAAATGAAATTATTAAATTAATATTGTAGGTGGAAAACATGAAACACTGTTAAAAAAATTGAAACATGAATTACATAACTTTTAAAAAAGTATCGATCCTTTTTATAAAAAGTATGGACACTTTCAATATAATAGGTAAACATATGATGTAATAGGTAGCCCTTATATAATGTAATATGTATCGTTTATATAATGTAATAGGTAGTGGTTATATTGTAAAGTGTCTATTCTTTTTATAAAAGTGTCCATATTTTTTTCACTGTGGAAAACATTAATTTAAGGTTATCTTTTGAGTGAGTTTTAAGATATTAATTTAGTAATTATAGGCGTCTAATGATTTATTTTTTACGTTACGATATATATTATTATTAAATTAAAAATTCTAAATATTATTTTATAAAATATCAAAACAATCAAATAATTTTTTGTGCAAATGAAATTATTAAATCAAATAATTCAAATTGAAAATTAAACAACAAATCAATTAAACATTGTTGTGGATACATTAATTGAACATTGTCATGGGTACATTATTTGGAAAAATAATGTTCCGGACTTTGTTAGAAATAACTCTTTTTCATTGGATTAATTTCGTTTTTGTGGGTACATTATTTGAACATTGTTATATATAAATTTGTTGTGTAAGTATGTTTTGGTTTGATTATATTGTATGTATATTTTCATTCAGTTGATATGGGTTATGTATAACAAAACAATCTATCTCGCATGTGAGTACTTTATTCCAACCATGTGACAAGTGTGACAACTCCATCAACTCACAACTCAGCTTTGAACTCAATCAATATTGTCTTTTAGCTTGATGGTTCATAAAGCATGTTACTTGAACAGTATGAATCAATTATGCAATTTTCATGTTCAATTTAACACTGCATTTCAAATTCATTTCATATGTAATTGGAGTTTGAATTTAAATTTCAATTTGAGTTTGAATTTCAATATATATTTCGGCTCCACTATAAATATTAGCCCAAGCCAATATGCATGTTATCATTGATTATTCCTAATTTCCATTGTTTTTTTCCAACGTATAAACGCGAGGGAAATCCCGACCATTTTATTTTTGGTCAACTTTAAAGCGTCAGAAACGTTTCGGGCGTATGATCTGGGTGGTATACAAGAAATGTAACAAATAGCAACTAAAATCATAAGTTGAGTACCACCCAAATCATAAGTCTGAAATACTTCCGATGCTCATCAAAATCCAAAGCTCATATGGTGCCAAGCAAAAGGAAATCAAAATCCAAATCTCATATGATGCCAAGCAAAAGGAAATCAAAATCTACAACTTGAGTTTGAACATTGATATGATATGTTCAGTTGTTATCATGTTGGGATTTTCTCGTTTTTGATTGCTTGGATAGTTGTTCTCTTGCTTCTTCAAGTGTTCTTAAGGTTATCCTTTGAGTGAGTTTTAAGATATTAATTTAGTAATTATAGGCGTCTAATGATTTATTTTTTACGTTACGATATATTATTATTAAATTAAAAATTCTAAATAATATTTTATAAAATATCAAAACAATCAAATAATTTTTTGTGTAAATGAAATTATTAAATTAATATTGTAGGTGGAAAACATGAAACACTGTTAAAAAAATTGAAACATAAATTACATAACTTTTAAAAAAAGTATCGATCATTTTTATAAAAAGTATGGACACTTTCAATATAATAGGTAACATATGATGTAATAGGTAGCGCTTATATAATGTAATAGGTATCGTTTATATAATGTAATAGGTAGTGGTTATATTGTAAAGTGTCTATCCTTTTTATAAAAGTGTCCATACTTTTTTCACTGTGGAAAACATTAATTTAAGGTTATCTTTTGAGTGAGTTTTAAGATATTAATTTAGTAATTATAGGCGTCTAATGATTTATTTTTTTCGTTACGATATATATTATTATTAAATTAAAATTCTAAATAATATTTTATAAAATATCAAAACAATCAAATAATTTTTTGTGCAAATGAAATTATTAAATTAATATTGTAGGTGGAAAACATGAAACACTATTAAAAAAATTGAAACATAAATTACATAACTTTAAAAGAAGTATCGATCATTTTTATAAAAAGTATGGACACTTTCAATATAATATAATGTAATAGGTAAATTTGCAATGCTCACTGTGGAAAACATTAATTTAAAGTTATCTTTTGAGTGAGTTTTAAGATATTAATTTAGTAATTATAGGCGTCTAATGATTTATTTTTTACGTTATGATATATATTATTATTAAATTAAAAATTCTAAATAATATTTTATAAAATATCAAAACAATCAAATAATTTTTTGTGCAAATGAAATTATTAAATTAATATTGTAGGTGGAAAACATGAAACACTATTAAAAAAAATTGAAACATAAATTACATAACTTTAAAAGAAATATCGATCCTTTTTATAAAAAGTATGGACACTTTCAATATAATATAATGTAATAGGTAAATTTGCAATGCTATCGGTATAAATATACCGATTTACTTATAAAATAGTTAAATATAAGCGCTACCTATTACATTATATAAGCGCTACCTAGTATGTTATTGTACTTTATAATATTTCCGGTTAAATAATATAACATAACCGATCTAAATTTTAACCGGTCACTTGTTTAACCGATCACGCCGTATATTAACCGTTTTTTAGGCGCCGCACCGCAAAACTACCTAGCCATGCGAACCAGTCGTTTCGCTTACTTCCTTCCTCTTATATATATATATAACACAACTTTTCTTACTTGTTACGCGTTGCGTTTCAAACGGGAATACTTTTCCAGACGTCGTACAACTTCTATTTTTGGCTTATAATTTCCTTCTTTTTCTTATTATTGAAGATTTTGATTTCAGACTATTTCTTTTTATTTTTATGAAAACTGCAACTCATTTCAAAATGTCAACAGAAACGGGCAATGAAAATGCCCATGCAATGCAATAACAAGCATTTGCCAATTACCCTGTGGTATGTTACAGAAAGCTAATATGAACACGCAGAAACCTGACATAGCTAGAAGATGTCTTACATTACATACGGTATACCTAAAGAAATATACGCAACTCCGAAGGGTGGCTGCAGCTACGGTCTCTGTTTAGATCGGTTGACCTTCCGGTACGATTTGATCCTTCAACCACATATAGATAGGGACCAACACATAATACGTTGCTGCCATGGTACCCAGTATAAAGCGCAAGAGAAATGTAAATGGGTTTACCGGCTTCGATACATCCTCCATCTTCGGCCCGAGCTGAAACGAACCACAAATGAAAAACAAAAGAGTTTAGTAACGTGATATGATAGAAATGCTAAGGTTAATCACATACAAGGAAGATTTAAATATCCACTGCTTAGGAATCAGTTACATGGATTCATTTTCACTGGTCAGCAACGAATGCCAAAAGGATACAAGTACAACAAGAATCGATAGCAAAAAGAAATCAATCCGTGTCTGTGAATTATTTTCCACAACGGCCTTCATCTGTTTAAGTTCATTTGCCACCTCCGGTTGATGTTGTTCTGGGTTTCCCTCAGGAGGTCCGGGTTCATCTTTTGAATTCCCGGTGACCGAATTATAGTTCCTTTGGACATCAATATCCTTTATATAAAGTAGATGTTGATGTCTAAAGGGACTATAATTCGGTCACTGGGAATTCGGAACATGAACTCGGACCTCCCAAGGGAAACCCGGAACAACATCAACTGGAGGTGGAAAATGAACTTAAACAGATAGTGATCATATCACAAAGTGATTACCTGCAAAGGAGGGTCCCCAGATGCCGGTTTAACGCCGGTTACAGAGCACCCCATGATCAATCCGTGTCTGCGAACTCCACGATACCATTTAGGACCAATCCTTTTGAGTTGGACATCCTTAAATCCTGCCTTTTCAAACCACTCAATATACTCTTCTTCCTTGGGGAAAAGCATCCAAACATCCGCAAAGAAGCGTGACAACCAAAATGTAGGGTACACAGGACCTATTACACAAGCTTTTCCTCCTAGTTTCAACACCCTGTATGCTTCCTTGATGCCCCGCTGTGGGTCTGGCCAGTACTCTATGCTGAAAAAACATAACAGCATAATCTCAATAAAACATTACCAAGTTATCATCTCCTCCAAATCATACATGCAAACTTACCATCATGCATAACAATTAACAAAGGGCATAATCCAGCCACAAGAAATCAAAATTTTACATCTCGTTGTGAAGACAAATTTTGTTCATTTCAAGCAAACAAAATAGTCCCTACTACACCAGAAGAGTTGGAAAAACATACCTGCCAGCAGACACGTATCTATCTGCATAATCGGTAGGAAAGGGGAGATCTTCTGCATCACCTTCAATTATCTTGCATTCCTTCAGGGGCTCCTTCTGCTTAGCCTTGGCAAGCTGATGTGGAGATTGATCGAGAATTGTGACATTCTTAGCATCCACATGCTTAACGATGCCCAAAGTAGTGAAACCAGTTCCACCACCGACATCCACAACAATCGTGTTCCTGTCGTTTAGATCAGCTGGCTCAAGTGCAACATCTCTCATGTCTTCAGTCCAATGACCAGGGTTTATCAAATGGTCATAAATGATTGAGAGGAACCTGTAGAACCAAAAAGCCTCCTTTTTGTGTCGTATGAATCTTGGTTGTGAAGCTGGCCTTGATGCTGATAAGCTGCACCTTGGGGCCATCATTGTTCCTGGCCTGGAGATTCTGGCACTAGAGATTAAACCCAGATTGGATAAGTGTTTCCCCTGAAAATCTGACCCGAAAAAATCAATCCTTTTGGGGGTTACCCCTCTGATGGGAGTGAAGATTTCAGCTCCACTGAGCATGGAAGAAGCCATGGATTAAGCCAGCAAAAACTACCCAGAGATTGAAAAGCTGCAATCTTTACTTGAAAACTTTGAGCAAATATCAACTATCAAGATAAATACCTTATTTGGGGTTTATCTGGTTTTACTATCTTATTGTCTGGCTTTCTGCAACTTCGGTTGAGACTTCAGACTCGAGTTAAAGGGGAACGGACACCACAGCCACAGGATATGGACTGGACTCTGTTCTCTAGTGGATTCTAAGACATTTTTTTTCTCTAATTAATTTTTGTTTGTTATGCGTTTATGTCTGTGATCCATGATTTCGTGGATTCGTACTCTTCTCATGTTTCCAATCCAACACGTATCTCCTTCCTTTTGTTTGTTTTACTTGTCCAAAACTCACATAGTTTTCTTCCTTGTTAGTAGTAGTGACTAGTGAGGATGACATACGAGCAAAATTCTGTGAAATTTGATAGAGATTTTATTTATGATCATAATTTTTAAAAAAATAAAAATTGAATTTTATTAATAAAAACAATTGATATTTCAGATTTGTAATATAATTAAATATACAAAGAAAAAATAGAGATAATAATCACCAAAATATTTATACAAAATTAAAAAAAATATTAAAATCAAATATACAAAAAACACAAAACATTCCTTTTAAAATGACGATCAATATAAAAAAATCCATAAATCTTCATAAAAATCAATTGTCTATGTCGAATAAGACACTTTACGTGATAATGAATGGTGAGCAAATCAAACTATTTGACAAGTTTATTAGCTACATAATTATGATAATATTGATAAATAACATTTTACTAAATAAATGATATAACTATATGTGACTACTGATAAATTAATCAAAAAGCAAATGTCGTGAAGATTTTTGTGCAAACACCAAAACGACCGCGAATGTATGCAAAAAACGTACAAAATATTCATAAGGATCGTGTCCACAAGAGTAAAGAAAAAGCATGTCATAAGAACAGAGAAAAGTGTATCACAATAACATAGATTTTTATTCAAAATTGAAAAAAAATAATAATTGACATAATATGAAAAAATAAAACTAATAATCATCGACAATCGATAACTAATATTAAAATTAATGCCACCGTCAGCGAAATAAAAATAAAAAAAAAACGGCACAAAATCTTTAAGATAAAACCTAGACTAAAAAATGAGAAAAGAAAGGTTTTTGTTTTTGTAACTTTTTGTCATAATTTTTAAACAAAAATATAAACCTTTGATTCTATTTTGTTTTATGTTCTATATTCTATAAATATATTTTATAAAAAACAGTATATAAATATATTTTATAAAAAATTAGGTTTAATTAGTATTTGAGACCTTTAATTTTTTTCAAAAAAGACAATTTAATCCACCAATTAATTTTTCATTCAATATGATCCTTAAACTAAAAAATCATTTTGATCTTTTGATAAATGATTTTCATCGTTGACCATTATAATACTGATATAACAATTTACAATGTTGACATGATAGCTTATGGTGCTAACATGACGATTCATAGTGGTTGATGACATGATAGATGTATTAAATATGTTTTTTGTCAAATTCGATAGCCAAATTAGTTTTTTTATGAAAGTTCAAGAGCTTATTTAATTTTAAAAAATAAAAATTATTTTAAAATTTAAAAATTTAAATATTAAATATTAAAAATAAAAAATAAAAAATAATTACTAAAAGTTTGAAAAATATATTAAAAACACAATTAAAAAATAAAAAATGTACCACAAACTAAGAAATCTATAAAATGATAAATTATTAAAAAAATAAAAGTATTTAAAAATATATATTATAAATAATATATACATATAACATATCATCATATCATCAACACTTATATAAAATATTATTATTGTATTATAAATTTAAATAGTAGAATTGAATCATTAAAAAATCTCTCATTTTCTCTCATTTTCCTTGGTCGCCACTAGCCTCTTCTCTTTTCATCTTTGTGATTAATTATAACACTAACTGCCAGTCGATATTAATTGTTTTTTCTTTATTTTAGTATATGGTATCTTTGTTTTTTTTCTTGTTTATTTAATTTTTTATAACTTTGCCATGACAAATTTTCTTCTGTCTTTTGGTATACTTTCGATTATTTGACTGTTATTTTCTTTTATCATTTTTCTCAAGGTTGGATGACATTGCTACAACTGATCAAGATGATGCTTCGTTGATATCATGTTGATATTCACTGCTTTGGACCCTTGGATACTCGATTTGTGTTCATGAATAGTTCTTTCACGCCACTCGACTATAATTTATGGTTTGTTGGTAGTCTTTTAATAGTTTGTTTCTCTTTTGTGGTTTGTTTGTCAATGCGGTCAGATTTGTTCGTATCTACCTTTTGTTTGAGTTTATTTAGTTAGGTTTTTTTAATCTTTTTCATTTTTTTGTCCTTGTGTGATCTTAAGTGACCAGTTTATTGTGTTATTGATTATAGGAAAATGTCCTTATTATGTATTTTGTTTACAATTATTATTGTAAACCTTCACTATAATTTATATATTTTCTATTTTTAATAAAACTAGTTGCTTCTATAAAAAAATATTATTATTAGATTAGTCAAAACTTATGAATTTTGTATTTAAATATAATTAAGAAATATAGTAAAATTTTCATATTATTATATGATTTGATGTGTGTATTCGATACAAAAAACTTATTATATTTCCTAATTATATTTAGATACAAAATTCAATGTTATATATAATTGGAGCAATTGAAAATTCAATGATATAAACAACATATTTTCTAAAATTCAAGGGTAGATTATACAATTCCTCATTGAACTATATTTTATCTCTTATCTTACTCATTGCACTTTCAGTTTTTCTAATTTACTCACTAAACTTTCGAATTTCTCCTGTTTTTATCATTCTGAATTAGTTTATTATTATTTATGTATGACATGACATTTTTTATTATTTAATATAAAATAATTGAAAATAAAAAAATAAAAACATAAGGTGGTTGGATGCCACAGTCGACCACCGTTGATGGTGGTCGTTCGATCCCAAATTTTATGGGTCGCTACATCTCAACACCCTGAGGCTGAATCCACCCTTAATTTTGCTGAAACTTGCTCTGAAGTCTACCAATTGAAGATCAAAAGTGAGGAAAACGACACGTTTCATTCGAGATTCATGGGTTTTGGAACATTTTCTGGTAAAACAACCACCATATTCAGACTCAGGGGATCGAGTCGAACTGACCCACGACCACCATCTACGAAGGTCGACTGTAGCATCCGACCACCTTTTATTTTTATTTTATATTAAATAAAAAAAATTAATGTCATAAAATAAAATAATTAATAGTGATCAAAACATGAGCATTTTGAAAGTTCAGTGAGCAAATTAGAAAATTTGAAAGTATGGTGAGTCAAATAGGAGATATAGTATAGTTTAGTGAGGAATAATGTATTTTACCCAGAATTCAATGATAGGAGTAGTTTGCCCTTAATTTTATGCAAGGAAATAGTCCATCCGTGGCCTAATTTCATCGTCTGCTTGCTCATGACAATAGTTATAGGTAGAGAGTCACTGGATTTTGTGCAGCTAACACTGGATTCCAATTTCCCAATCTTTTTCTTCCATTTTAGTTGTTGTGTCGTCCTCAATATTATCGCAAATTCACAACGATTCATTGAAAAACTGGGGTCGTACACAATACAAAGTTCATTGAAAGCAGCAAGTACATATATATATATATATATATTGAACACACGAACAATGTCTGAATGAATTTCTTTTTCCACATAAATAACTCTTCGACACTACCAAGATCCAATCAATTTTCATCTGGAAATCCATTGCCCACGCTTGCTTCTTGGATTCCCCGACATATCATGCAAACCAAAAACGAATACACCTCATATCTTAACTTCTCTTACCAACACTTATATGATTCTTGTTGTGTTAATCACTCTCGAATTTGGCATGTTTAACCTCGAAACAACAGAACCTACCATGTATTTTTGCAACTGCGCCGGCATAGACAACAAATTAACAAAGAAAACGATATAATCCAAAGCCTTGCTCTTTATAAGCACTTTGATTGACGTTCCTTTTCATCCAAAGCATAGATCGCTTATTAAGGCACACCAAGTCCAACCACGATGTCTTTTCCGTCAAACTTGAACCCTGATGAGGCTAGCCCACCGTGGTTGAACAAAGGTGACAACTCTTGGCAGCTTACTGCAGCTACTCTGGTGGGTCTCCAAAGTGTCCCGGGTCTCGTAATCCTTTACGGTAGCATAGTGAAAAAGAAATGGGCTGTCAACTCGGCCTTCATGGCACTTTACGCCTTTGCTGCAGTTCTCGTGTGTTGGGTTGGGTGGGGGTACCGGATGGCTTTCGGGGACAAGTTCATTCATTTCCTAGGAGTCCCCAATGTTTCCCTGGACGCTAATTACCTCATCCAGCAGGCTTTTCTCGGATATCTACCAAATGCAACCATGATCTATTTCCAGTTCGTGTTTGCAGCCATCACTCTGATTCTGGTAGCTGGTGCATTGCTTGGAAGGATGAATTTCCTTGCATGGATGTTGTTTGTTCCACTTTGGTTGACATTTTCCTACACCATCACTGCCTACAGTATATGGTGCCCTCAAGGGTGGTTGTCTAAGAAAGGCATTATTGATTACTCTGGAGGATATGTTATCCATTTGTCTTCTGGTGTTGCTGGTTTCACTGCAGCTTACTGGGTAATCAGTAATCAACATAATATATAATTGATCAATGATTTTGCATCTTTTTCTTTTCTAGTGTAAGTAATTGAGTCGATTGTTGTATATATTGGTGAAGGTTGGGCCAAGGACAACCAAGGACAGGGAGAGGTTCCCACCAAACAATATCTTGTTGATGCTTGCAGGGGCTGGACTACTTTGGATGGGATGGACTGGTTTCAATGGTGGTGATCCCTACACCGTCAGTACTGATGCATCGTTAGCCGTCCTTAACACCCATGTGTGCACCGCTACAAGCTTATTGACATGGCTCATGCTTGACATTATTTTCTTCGGAAAGCCCTCTGTGATCGGAGCTACTCAGGGAATGATCACTGGCTTAGTTTGCATCACTCCCGCAGCAGGTAATATTCACTACATCACATATAAATGAATTTATGTATCGATAATAACAAAGAAATTTTGTCATCTTGTGTTGGTTAGGAGTGGTGCAAGGTTGGGCAGCAATATTGATGGGGATAATGTCTGGTAGCATCCCATGGTACACAATGATGGTCCTGCACAAGAAGATAGGGTTCCTCAAGCAAGTCGATGACACCATGGCGGTGTTCCACACGCACGCTGTAGCAGGCAGCCTAGGAGGCATCTTGACCGGCGTGTTTGCGGTGCCGAAGCTCAACCGACTTTTCTACTTGGTACCCGAGTGGCAACACTACATCGGTCTTTTCTACGGGTTCCATACTGGTCGCACCACAGCCGGGTTCACGCAGTTAGGTATTCAATTGCTAGGAATCGCATTCGTAGTCATCCTCAACGTGATCATGACTAGTGTGATATGTAACGTAATCAAGTTTATAGTTCCGCTGAGATTAGCGGAGGACGAGCTGCAAACAGGGGATGACGCAATCCATGGGGAGGAAGCTTATGCACTGTGGGGCGATGGGGAAAAGTATGAATCAAGGTTGAATTCCGTTTATGAAGAATTCCCACCACCAACCAAAGGTGGTGAAGTTCAAATGGCCTGATCTAATGGATTTGGTTCTTCTTTACTATATTATTTCTTTGTTGTTTCATTTCCAATGATTAGATTACACATAATTGGGTTGAACCAGGAAGGAAGAAATTATGTTACTTTGAAGTTGACTGGTAAATAACATCGACCGTGTACACCGATCAAAATAAGAACCCTACCACTCTCGTTGTTTTCGTTGAATAATCATATATTTTTGTCCTATTTCACCTTTGCATTTTCCCTTCAGCTTTTGGTTTGGATTTTTCTCATCAAATTGTTTTCCTATTGAAACACTATGCCCGCCAATAGTCCAAAAGAGCACATTATACGTTCGTTCATACACCGTCGGATATAAATGGAATCCGAATTTTATTTGTATTAATTGATTATTTTATTAATAATATCTATTTTTAAATTTTATTTGTGTCCACTACCTCATATAAAAAAAATTATATATATATATATATTCGCCTTCAAAAAAGTATTTTTAGAGTTATCATTGTATACATATATATCACATTCATAGTATATACACATTATCTATCTAATGTTATGGGTGCATTAATAAAATTTTAGAAAATAAAAATAAATTTATTAAAAATAATATAAAAATCATTTAAATTATATTAGAATTTAAAATTTTGAGCTCTAGGTTAACTAGGGATGGATATGGGACCCGAACCTGGCGGCTTCCGACCCGATCCGACCCTCTTTTAAAAAAAATTAGGTTCAGATTGAGTCGGGTTTTTAAAATGTGATGTTTGGATCGGGCCGGGTTTGGCCTTAAGGTGAAAAATATTCAACCTAAAAAAACATAATTTTACCTTATATATTTATGAATAATTACAATAATAGCCCTCTATGTATTATTTTTTTCAATTAAATCACTGTTTTTATTAAATAAAAATATTTTATTATTATTTCGGGTTTGGTCAAGTGAAATCTTGTTTCATGCAGGTCGGGTCGAATCTCGGATGGAGGAGTCATTGTTCTCGGTTCAGATCGGGTGGACCCAAAATCCGACCCAACCCGACCTATATCCATCCTAATGTTAACCCCTCGGTTCATCCCGAAGGGATTGACTATCGAAACAAACAAGGGAACTTAGGGAAGAGACTGAGACAAAGTATGTAAAATCAGAGGATGATGGTATGCTAGAAAGAGACAAGTGAAAGTCAAATTTGCCTATCATAGACAACAAAAGGGCATCTTTCTCGGCTACCATAATTTCTGGACGTGTTCATACAATAAATTGCAACTATCAAGCATACCTCAATTGTTTGGGATATTTTTATTAAATGCAAACTATTTGAATAAAAAAGAGGAAATGATAGAATTATGGAAGCGGGTTATCAGGACAGGAAAAAGGTTCTGTTTTTCACATTACTTTATTTGTTTTTTATTTTAGGAAATCAGCAAAAGCAGAACAGCTTTTGAAGAAAACAGTAAGGAGGAAAAGTCGTTTACCTGTTTCCGTTTTCGGGGTTATTAGAGAGGTAATAATTAAAAGATCAAAGCTTTGCAACAACTTATAGATCTGCAGGATTTAATGAGCTGGTTGCCCTTTTGCTTTTCAAAATAAGTAATCCGCCATCGTTTTGGAATGAGCAAGCGGCATTGAATTTGAATGCTTCAAAGCTCAGGCAGCTGAGTAACAATGGAATCAGAAACGGGGTCGTCGACGGATGAACAGCAACCGTCTGGTTCTGCAGCTGATACCAGAGGCAAGCATCGGATTCTAGCTGAACTTAAACGTGTCGAACAAGAATCCAGGTTCCTCGATGTAAGCTTTTGCTTCTTCTTTTTTAACCCTTTTTCCAGTAAAAGGGCTGCTTGAATCCCTGTGTCGGCAAAGAGCCTTTTGAATTAGTATACGACTGATTTGCTGCTCTTGCTAAGCTTCAACTTGAGTGGTCATATGCTTAGCATCTGTTAAATAAACAATATTTTAGCAATGCTGTGCATTTGCACCACATGAAACCTATCTAGGGTGCTGCTATTCGCCTCTTATCTTATCCATTAGCACTTCAGAGACCAGCCGACATGGTATGGATGGAGTTGTTGGCCTTCGGCTCATGGATTTAGCTTTTTCCCCATCCTATTTTTGCTCATCTTTACTTCTTTCTTAGGCATATGATGATTTTAGAGTTTAAATCAAACAAGATCTGTTTTACTTTGAGCAATGTTATACTTTAGTGATTCAAAAATTTCTGTGTGATGAAAAGGTATCATGTTACAGTTTAGATGTCTTATTCTTTCGCTCTTCGTGAATTTTTCGTTTTCCAGGATGAGATGGAAGAGCTTGAGAGAACTGACAACGTTTCAACATTGTCCGAGGGGTAAGTATAAGAATTAAGTTCTCTTTCCAATGAAGTTGCAAAAGTAGAAAGTAGATTTGAATCTAAACGATTTCATCCTTTATCGTTACACGATACGCTTAGTGCACAGAAGTTGTGTGATAACCGGTTTGATCGGAATTAATCTCTCTTGTTTTGCCCTCTCAGGTTGCTGCTTAGCATGGAGTCAAGACCAGATCCTCTACTCCCAGTGTAATTACAACTTGAAATTTTTCTTGATCTTTTGTTTTACGTAAAGTTGATTTTCCCGCTAATGTTTATTATGATCACAGAACAAATGGTCATATAAATTCATCATGGGATAGATGGTTTGAAGCGCCCCAAGACTCCAAAGGTTGCACATGCCAAATTCTATGATTTGAGGCAATCTAACATTTGTTGCCAAAACATGTTAAAATCTTACAGTTTGTTTGTTATATTAACAGATGTTTCAATTCTCTTTCAACAGTGTGTAACACCCAAAATTTTGGGTGGCTCGAATAAAATGTATAATTTACTTTTTCCTATTCAGATGAAATTTGTATATCCGATACATATACTGCAGATATGAGCTTTAAAACGGATCGTTCTTGTCGTCATTTCGCCCCCTTGCCCAAGTTATTTCCATATTTTACGTGATTATGAATCCTATGAACTTGTTTCAGGACAGTATTTCTGCAAGAAGGCAGCATTTCTGCAAAATCACTCTGAAATCTATTCATGAAATGAAAAGTTCATTTTGTTAACGTTCACAACTTCAACTCATGCTTATGCAGTCATTTCCACAACAGATGGGTATTACAAAAACAAAATGATATTCAAGTTATTCAGTCAAATCAACCTTGATAAGGCAAGATTTCCTGTTATTAGCTCTAAGCTTTAACTAGTAAAACTCAGTTCCCCTAAATAATTTACAATGTATATACAGTTGGGAAAGTAAGCTGCGGCCTGCTAGAGATTTAACTGCAATAGCTCTCATATCTCGAAACTGTCGCTGCTTGAGCAGTTCCACAACAGACACATGCAAGATCAAAGAGCTTGAGTAGACAAAAGGTGTCTCAGCAGGAGTAGGTGTTCCTCGTCTGAAATGTTAAGGCTGAAGCGGAGATTTGTTAACAGGGACTCCTTTGCCCAAGTTAAAGGACCTGAAACAAACAATGCCTCCATTGTTGACTTGTAAGCACGAAGTTCTAGTTTATGCATATCGTATACTTTGCTGTAACACAAAGAAGGGAATGCTGACTCAGCATCAGAATTATCAGGTGCACTGTCCAACAATTTATGAGAGATTTGGCCAACATAATCACCGTTTAAACTACAGCTAGCAACTGAGCATTGGTCACTATCTTCAGTAGACCAAACAGGCCTAGAAGAATCACAAAAACAGTGAGGAGTGGTGTCTTGCATTCTGCCATTCCCGTTAGTTGAAATATCATATCCCTGTTTCAACAATGGAAGCGCTCTGTTAGGAGTTACATCACAGCCTCTAGAACACAGAGACGATTTCCTTTTCTTGAAGGTTCTACCAATGAGGGTGTCCATATTGCATTCCCCCCATAATTTACTCTTTGCTAGTATGGGCAGACAAGTTGCGATATTATGAGTCTCACCCTTATGTTCTCCCCCTCTATCTCTTGCTCTAAATCGCATAGTTTCACCAAAATGCAAGCTGGAAGCTAAGAAAGGAATTTTTGGAGTGATGCTGTCGACCAAGTTTTTATTCTCAGCAACCTGCAACCATATGTAGTCTGGTTTAGAAGTACTGGCTGGTACTTATCATATGAAGTTTGTTCTTAGTCTTTCATAATGCCAAATCTTAAGAACTACTATGAAGTTCATGTTATAATATGGAAAGGAAATAGCAGTGATAACGAAATTTGAAAGAAACATTGTAGTAACAAAATCACAAGACTTATGAATGAGAAAAAGTACAATATTGAAGACAACAAGCATGATGAATATAAGCAAGCCATCACCTTCCCTGTCACTATCCACTTGTTGCCATGCCAAGCCTGCCTAATCCTTAAACTCGATGCATGAAATTCCTTAAGTTGGATGGATCCAAAGAACTTAAGGACAAATCGGTTACCATTATTTAACACCTTCGCAACCTTTGCCACCCTCCAACACTGAATATCAAACACCTCGGTTATATCCCCAACTGCCCAACTCTTACCATTTACACTTGGAGGCAGGGGTCTAACATCCTTCCCTCGCACCTTCTCTGTGACTCGTTTTACTTTGTGGTACTCGAGCAGTTCGTACCGAACATTATAGTTGTCACCATCCGCTGAAAGTATCTCACCGGTAAACCAGGATCCGCATGGATCGTGCTCTCTTCTTAACACCTCCACCAAGTTCCCTTTTCTGAACTTCATATTGCTCCCACTCTAATATGCTTAATCCTGGATAAGAATAGTAAAAAAAAATTAAAACAGAATTAATAACATAAATATGAAAACTATGATATCTGAAGGTGTTATTGTTAGGGTCAAGATGAAATTTTAAAACACAGCAGATCCAGGGGGTGGCTCGTTAAAAGTGCTGAAAATATGAAATTTTCTGAAACTTCAGGCTCAATTCAGCTAAAACACATGGAAACTTCAATTTTAAAAAGACGATATCAGTAATCTTGAAGAACTCCTTGTACCAGAATCAAATCTAAATCAATTCATTGAAAACAAGGGAACTTACAAATGAAATTGATTCTACAAACAGGGATATTCTACAACCAAACTCATATGAACTCATGAAAACCAGTGGGAAGTCGATCAGCAAAAGGCTTTAAATTACTAAAACATAAATCAAGTTTTAGCAATCCTCAAAACACCCAGAAACTATATTCATTATTTTTTAATCTTTAGAAATTAAAAAAAAGGCCAATAGTCCAAAAAAACATGGAAGAAAAGACACTTCCCAGAATTCAAAATCTTATAAGTATAAATTAGTATATGGTAAAATAAAAACAGACCAACCCATATAAACATTTACAACCAAAACAGCTTCATTTCAATTCAAAATTTTTAATTAATTGAATGAGACTGACCTGAGAGTAAAAGAGAAGAGATGGAAACGAACAGGATGAAGTCATGAACGCATCTTTACGCAAAAATTGCCTTTATTTTCGCCCTCTTTCGATTATTTGTTTAAGTACAGCGAAAATAAAATTTACCACTAAATTACTATCCATTAATTAGGATTACCCTTGGCCTTCGAAGTTAATTTGTAACTTAAAATGCAAAATTTCAAAACTTAGGTATTTGGAACGTAATCGGCAAGACTTTCGGGGTCTTGCCTAATTGTAATCATGGGGATCATTCTTATTTTCCACAATCAATATCTTTTTGCAACTACGAATCTTCCTCGTCGCGTTTCATTGTATGGGACGGATAGTTTTAACAAATTTTAAATCCCGAATATTCATCTCAACTTATAAACTGTTATACGGTAAACTATACAGTTTACTGAATTATATTCTCTATCTTATTTTCTTCCTTTAACTTTTAATTTTTCTAATTTAATTATTAAACTTTATAGATTTGATTATTTTACTCACTTCCCTATTATTTCTCTAACGTTTTAATAACATGTCATTTTTTATTTTTTTTAATATAAAATAATTGAGAAAATAACAAAAAAATTGAAGGTGGCTGGATATCACTGTCGGTCACCGTCGACCGTCGTAGATGGTGGTCGTTTGGTCTCAAATTTCATTGGTCGCTTCACCCTGACACCGTAAGTCTGAATCTGACCTCCATTTTGATGGGACTTGCTCCGAAGTCCACAAATTTGTGATTAAAAGTGGGGAAGCCGAAACATTTCAGTCCAGATTCACGGGTTTTATGACATTTTTTATGAAACAACACTAAATTGGGACTCAAGGGGTCGAGATGAACCAACCCATAAAATTTGAGACCGAACGACCGCCATCAACTACGAAAGACAGTGGTCAGAATGAATATGGAGTGATGGCCGATTGTCGGAATCGTCTTTCGGGTGGACCCCAAAATTGGGCTTCGACTTGAATAATTGGTTTAGGAGTCGCCACCGATCATTTATTTTAAGGCAAATGGGTTGATCGGATACCTTATTTCTTACCTGATTTGCGTCTTACCAAAAATATGTCGGATTCGGGAGTCGGTTACAGTCAAGGAAGGGTTAGCACCCTTGAACTGCCATTTCGGTACTACATAATTTCCAATTGTCTTTAATTAAGAAAATTGTAATTTTAAATTAAAATTTAAAAATTGATCCAAATTACTTACCTTAGATTGATTTGAAAATATCATTGAAAAGTCAATAAAAGTGTCAGATAAAAAAATGAAAATAAAGAAAATAAAAAAAACAAAAGAAATAAAGAAAATAACATGAAGATGAAAAAGATAAAGAAAAATAAAAAAGAACAAAAGTAAAAATACAAATAAAGAAAATAAATAAATAAAGAAAATGAGGACAATCTATATACAATCAATAAATAAATAAAAATAAAATAAAATAACAAAATACAATAAAATGAACAACAAGGAAATAAAAATAAAGTAAAAATAAAGAGAATATTAAAAATAGAAAAGAAAAAGAAAAAGAAATTAGAAATAAATAAATAAATAAAGTAAAAAGAAAACATATACATATATATATATATAATATAATACAATAATGAAAAATTAATCAAATAATTAAAATATATAAAATAATAGACCTATAAATAAAATATTAAAAATATATATACATATATAAATGATAAAGTATAAAATATACAATATATAATATATATATTTAAATAAGTAAAAAAAAGAGAAAAAAAGAAACTTAAAAACATAGGGACTAAATTGAAAGAAACCAGAAATAGAGGGCCGAAATTAGAAGTAATTTTGGTGTGCAAATTAGATTAGGGGAGAAATTAAATTACCAAAGAAAGAAGAGGGACCAAATTGGGATTTCCCCAATTATTTATGAAAACACTAGGGTCTAGGGGTTAAAACGAGTCATCGCGCGAGTCGGTTCGAGTTTCATGGGCCTCGTATAAAGGCTAAAATTTTTCTTAAAATTCATTTCATCTCTTCTCTCACACGAGAGCCTCTCCCCCTCCTCAACATCTCTCTCGCATGTTCTTCAGAAATGAAGAACAGAGCCTCAAATTCCATAATCCGATCGGTTTGCCGCTTTGTCGGCCGTCGTTCATCGACAACGAAATTTTATTTCTATAATTTTTTTTCAAAAACTCGAAAGCTTCATCAAACTAATTTCCAAAAATCAAAATATTTCTTTGAAAAACTAGGCCTCAGGGGCTAGATCTACAAAAATAGATCTTGAAAATGCCCCCGTTCATTGGCCAAAAATTGTTTTATTTTGTGCCTTTCGAATAAAAAACAACCATGAACGACGCATGCAAGCATAAATCTGAGAAAATGTTCGACCGTTACCTTTGTTTCTTTCGACCGATTGCAAAGAGAAAAAAATGCTTCGAATAATCTCATGTGATTTGATGTAATTCTCTGCTTTTATTTCGTATCCATCCCCCTTTACAAATCGTTGATTACACCTATTTATAATCTAGGATATCCTTATTTTTAGATTACATTTTTGAGTCATATATAGTCTAAAACACTGCCTTGTTTGTTGGTGATGGAATCCTACTAACACACGTTCGTTGTTCTTGTTGATTTTGCAAGAAACGACCATGAAAAACAGACGTTTGACCGAGGGACTCGGCTGAGCAGCGTGAGGGAGGTTTGCAGTGTATGTGGATGAGATGGGGTTAGGGTTTCTGGAAACCCTAGTTGCTGGTTTGGCTTGCGTGTTGGGCTCACATGTTTGGGTTGTGTGTGGTAGAACACTCTGCTGGGCCACATGTAATCCGAGTTTGGGCCTGATACAAAAACAAAAAAAATGTAAACGTGTTAATGTAATAAAACAATAATAATACTTATATATATATATTTATATATATATAATACAACATATAACGGGTGTAGGGCAAAGATATATAGTTTATTGTGGTCAGAAAAAGTGTGTCTACATCTGCCCCTCTTTGCCCACAATCGTGTAACGGGTGTAGGGCAAAGATTAAAAGACACATTTTTTGTTCGATGGAGTTGAAAAATGACTCTGATGTTTCAATAACTCCCTATTGAGTTGCAGATGACTCATCCGTTGTGAAGTCGAGTTCATCTTGAAATGATATGGAATTGAAGTCGTAGTCTGGAATTTGAATTGGAACGTGGCTTCTTCGGTCTTCTTCTCGGTTTAAAAACCTTGGTTTAAAAATCCAACTGGAAAGTAATTCTTTAATTCCACCCTACGGTTGCAGGCCCTCGAGCTTAATGAAATTGAACTCGAAGGTCTTCGATTGACAGATAACCCTTCTAGCCTTGAGTTATGATGTAAATGTTGTGTCTTTGGGCTGAGTGTAATTGAACTCGAAGGTCTTTTGTGTTTCAAGAGAAATGTATTCAAAGGTTGGTGTTTCAAGAGAAATTGTCTCAAGAGAGACAAAACTTGTTTCAAGGGAAACTGTCTCAAGAGAGATAAAACTTAGTTCCAAAAGAAACAGTCTCGAGAGAGACGAAATTTGTTTAAAGGAAAACATATTCAAAGATTTTGTTTCAAGGGAAACTGTCTCAAGAGAGACAAAATTTGATTCAAGGGAAATTATCTCAAGAGAGACAAATTTTGTTTCAAGAGAAATTGTCTAAAGAGAGCCAAAACTTAGTTCCAAAAGAAACTATCTCAAGGGAGACGAAATTTGTTTCAAGGAAAACAGATTCAAAGTTTTTGTTTCAAGGGAAACTATCTCAAGAGAGAAACTATCTCAAGGGAGACGAAATTTGTTTCAAGGAAAACAGATTCAAAGTTTTTGTTTCAAGGGAAACTATCTCAAGAGAGAAAATTTGTTTTACGAGAAACTGTCTCAAGAGAGACAAAATTTGTTTTAAGAGAAACTGTCTCAAGAGAGAAAAAACTTTGTTTTGAGTAAATTAGTCTTGAGCGATGTAATACCCCCAAAAATTTAGACAATGACAAAATGAAAATTTTGAAAGTTTGATGGTCAAAGTATAAATTGGGAAAAAGTTTAGAGAATTAAGTGATAATTTCCTAAAAGAATTTTATTCCATAAATAGATGGTTTACTCTAGAGTAGAGTTTTATAGAAATCATATTTTTGGATTTGGAATTTTAGTAAAGAAAAACTAGAAAGGGTTAAAGCCGGTAAGGAAATCGGTAATTCCAATCGAATTGTAATTTTTACAAAAATTTGAAGGATGTTATAAAATGGTTGGAAATATTATTTTAATATTTTGGATCAGAGAAATTTGGTTTGAAAATGTGCAATTTTTCAGATTCAACCGAAACAGTGGAATTTAGTGACTAAAACGCAATTTTTGAAAATTCAAGGGGAAATTAGAAAATGAAAGTCAAATTATTTTATATTTGACTTTTTAATATGATAATGATCAGATGGCTTGGTTTTATGGTGGATATGGAAATTCATTAATGGCAAAAATGGAAATTCCTATTGGATTGAATAAAAAAATGATATCATAATATATATTGCATGTGATAGATTAATTTATCATAAAATATCAATCATGGAAGAGCATTTTCAGCTCCTTCTTCCTCCAAGGGCCGGCACTTGCAAGCAAGAAAGGTAAATATTTTAGTTTCAATTTTGAAGCTATTTATTGATAATTAGATTCAGTGTAGTTAGGAAAAATATTCTACTTTCAATTCTCTACATTTTGACATGAATATTACTAGGGTTCATGTTCAAGTTCATCTTGAATTGATGAAAGGGGTGTTGATTATTGTGTTTTATGGGTTTTGAAGAGTTAAGGGATTATAAAGAATTGGTTGTAAGAAATGATGAAGAACCTAAGAATGAAGTTAAAAAAAACAGTTTGGATTTTTAAATCTGGCAGTAGGTTTGAAAATTCACCAGAAATTATATAAAAATAATTTCGAGGTTATTTTTATATATTTATGTTCATATATCGATCTAGTTTCTTTTAAAACAAACTGGAATCAATTTAAATGTGTATACAAAAATATATGAATTTTTAACAAAGGAAAGGTCAGAAAAATCGGACAACAGATTCTGTAAAACAAATTATGTTGGTCAACTTTGAAAATTCGCCATAAATTGTACAGAATGAATTAGAAGTAGTTCTTTATATGGATAGATTTTTATTCGAGTATAGTTTTCAACGAAAGAAACG